ATTACTATTCTTGCCTCGAGAGTTCGAGAACCTACAGAGTCTGATTGGAAGAAGTGTGTTCGCATGATGCGATATTTGTTTTGTACATTGTTGTATCACCTGACACTTTCCGCAGAATCACTACGAGTCATGAAATGGATGATCAACGCATCATTTGCGGTGCATCCAGATTTCAAGAGCCATACTGGCGGCACTCTGTCCTTTGGAGGAGGTGCAGCTCAAGTGATGTCAAAGAAGCAAAAGCTAAACAGCAGAAACAGTACGCAAGTGGAACTGATTGCTGTTGACAATGTTGTTACGATGATACTATGGATGAAATTGTTCATGGAGTGGCAAGGGTATCCAATCGAGAAGAATATCTTGTATCAGGATAACAAAAGCGCGATTTTACTGGAAGAGAATGGTCGCAAGAGCGCGGGGAAAAGAAGCCTAACTATCAATATTTGTTATTTCTTTATCACAGATCAAGTTGAGAAAGGAAACTGACAATATGATTGCGGATTTCATGACTAAGCCATTGCAAGGTGACAAGTTTCGCAAGTTCAGGGATCTGATTCTTGGTCCACAGGGCTAGGTCAGACAAGTATGTATATGTTCAAAAGAAAATACAAAACAAAATAAACAGTGAATGAGAGCATGTCCCATTGCTGCCAATGGTGATTGTCACAATGGCAGGAGTGTGTTGGGATATGAGAAATATGAGTTTTTACGTTCCAAAAAGAAACTATTGAAGTACAAAGTTTTTAACACGTACGATCGGACTTTGGTGGTGATGTCAGGATTTGATGCAAGTATGCCGGACGCAAGTCTGTCGGACAATCTACATCCACAGAAAAAGGGAATGACCCTATACAAGTGAGATATCGATGTTGTGTACAATGCAGTAGGGAATAATACAAGATGTCCCAAAGTACTGCATTCAACACAGAATTGTTGTAGAGGTCGAACCAAGTTCTGTAAACAAGGGATTTTCCAAGGGAAAATTGTTGAACTTACTTTTGTGATTGAATCATCAATTCAAGCCAAATATTAATCAAATAAGAACAATTTCACTCAAAGTATACCTAGACACAGGAGAACTATTGTTGTGAAAGTGTTGTAGAGTCGATTACAAATTTAGATTGCAGAGAGTTTGTTCTGAGCGCTAAAGGCACTCACGATAGAGCACATTTTGCTTTATTCTAACAGTCTTTATGTTGATGTCACCAAGACACTGAGACAGACAATAGCCTCCAGTGGTCTGGCTCTCTACTTGATCCTCGGCTTCCTAGATGCATCAAAAGGGATTCAAGATTGCGTGTCTTGGGAAAAGTTCACCACTACTTTCTCCCATCGTCAACACTGCCTTGGCTGGTTTATACCCTCCCATCTGAGAAACGAGATCGTATCATCCAATGGCTCAGGAAAACTTTGTCTGCTTTCGAACGCCACTACAGTTTGCCGCCACATGCGCTGTTCTTACTTCAATCTGCAATGCCTTCTTTGTTTGATCCTTGTTCGTCGGCACTGCACCCGCATTGGGTACCACAGGCGGAAGGACTGGGTACTTCAGATCGATTCTCGACTGTCTTCTACCTTTATCCAGAACATGGATGGAATCTTGAGCCGCAAGATGGCAAAAGTTCTTTGGGGCTCCAAACAATCCTACAAGCTAAGTCCGGCTGCGATTCGAGAGGTCAAGGTGATTATCCACAGCCTACGAACTGAGGAATGGAAGATTTTTATTCCCCAGATGATCCCTCGCAACCACCATTTCGAGTCCTTGATGCTAGTTTCATTGGGGGTGGTGCTTAGTCTACGTCCCTTGACTACTGGTTTTGTGTTGTTTGGAGTAAACAAATTGTGGCAAGTACTAAGTTAAAGCCCTCCAATGCATCCTACATCCACATCAATGTGTTGGAGTGCCTTGTTTCCTTCCTGCAGGCAGTGGCCCTTGTTGTTACCATTGAGTCTTCCGCGCTCTCTGCTCCCATACGTGATTTGTTCCCAACTGGTATTCCAGCGTTCCCAGTCCTTCGTTGTTGTACGGACAACACTGCAACGGTGTCTTGGATCAATGACACACGGACCACCAGTCCGTTGGCTCAAGCCTTGGTTGCGCTCTACGGTCAGCTCTTGAAGAGATCTACTTTGGTTTGCCGCACGGTGCACATCCCTGGCGATGACAATGTCCTTGCTGATTGGATTTCTCGCCCCGACTCTCTCTCACATGAACGCCTTTTTATGCAGACATCACAGAAGTATCCTTGGATGAACTCCTTGCGTAATTTCCAGCCCAGTGCCAAACTCATCTCTGTTCTCAGATCCGCGCTGTTATGCAGCTCAAGTCCGGTCCCACCAAATCTACCAGAGTCCTTGGGACAATTCGTTCCCACCGCATCCATTTCCTCCGCTTTCTGCGTCGTCTGAATTGGCCACCGATGGATTTGCTGTTGGAGTCCGTCTCACATGATGCCCGCACACACCTTCTTGCCGCTTTTGCAGTTGACTTGTCGGTGGGCAATACTGTCAAGGGTAAGCCCATCAAGGCAGCGACCATTGGAAACTACCTCCGAGATACAGCTACCCTTCTTGAAAACTTCTGTGGTCGAGACCCCCGCTACACTAATCGATCTGACCATGATTTGGCGCTTCCCATCCAAGCTGTCCTGAATGAATGCAAGCATCATGAGAATATGCCTCATCGAGTCGACCCCTATACAATTGAGATGCATACCACTTTGGTGGCTCTGAATGCCGCTACAAAAGCACATATGGACGGTTTACACTGTGCTATGGAAGATTGGTTTAACCTATGGGCCCAGGAGGATGATTAGTACGAAACGCGCCTTCACTCTTGATGACATTCGTTTGTTCGATTTGGGTAATCATCCTGTTTTGATTGCTGAGCTTATCGAGAATTTTGATGCCATGGCCCGCTCCAATGTCAAGTTCTCTTGGCAAAAGAATCATGATCACGGTGAAGAAAAACTGCTTTCCAGCAATCCCAGTAACCCTTCCTGTGACGCTCTGCGGAGTCTCCATGACATTGTCAGCCGATTCGCACGGATTGTCGGTCTGGATAAGACCGATATTCCACTTGCGGTGTACAAAGGGTCCTTTGGTGAAAAGTGTTTCATTCACAGTAAAGTCATTGCTTCCACCCTTCGGACCTTGGCCAAGAAGACTTACAACCTGACTGATCGCGATCTGCGGCGACATTACAAATATACATCCCACTCTCTTCAAGCTGGGGCGGCGGTGATCCTTCACGCCGCGGGTATCAACGCCATCCAGATCAAGTTTCTCTTGTGCTGGCGCTCTGATTCTTTTTTCCTTTACCTTCGCAATGTTGCACACCTTTTGGAGCAACGAAACCTGGGCTACTCAATCTGAAGTGACTGCAGCTTGAGCTGCTTCTCGACTCATACCAAACATTGTTTAGCCACACCATCACATCTACTACTCTCCTCCTATTTCCTTTTTTCACTTCATCCCCCTTTCTCCGTTTCCCTCTCCACTCTGTCTTTCTCCCTTTCTTCAAAGGAATCGAAACGATTCATTGCGACGGACGAAACGATTCATTGTGACAGACGAAACAATTCAAAACAACTTTTTTGCTTCAGTAATGCCCCAGCTCAGGGGTGCGGTGGAAAGCTGTTCATTAGTCAAAGAAATCAAGATTCTCAATCCACAAAACGGTTGATTGACGGACGAGTTGCGGAGGGTCCTGGACCTGCATGATGGTCAGTGTTGTTTGCATCACACCACTTTTTAAACAAAGCTCGTTCCAATTCTCCACCTATAAGATTGAGAAACTTTTTTGACTTCTGATACTTTTCCTTGGGGTCGGCAGTAATCGTTCGAAACGCTAGGGCGTATTGAAAACACTGTAACCAGCTCCCATAGAAGCCAGAAAAAAGGCAGACCAACTGGTGTAAGCTGAAATGGAAGTCACCAGGTATGACAATGAGTTTTTCAAACATCTCATGAAGCACATCAGCTAGTTCACTTTCAGAGCTCACGTGCGTGTTTCCTGCACTTCTCAATATCTGTTCTGTCACTTTCTTTCTAAACGACAATAGCATGTTGACCGTCATCACGTCACCAGCCACAATAAGATTTCGCTCTGCAAAGTTTTTGCCCAATGAATATTTCCATGTTCCATCATTTCGTTTCTCCTTTTGTAGGAAGCCACTCATCTCCATGTTTTCTACAAAAACGTTGCCATTCCATTCAATGCTGCTCTCTTTGTGGGTTGATGAACGTACAGTAAAGGAAAGATTTTGGTGACATTGGCTTCAAATTTATTCCAACTTGCAACTGTTTGCTTTTGAAATGTATTCGCTTTTTCACAGAGCTTTCGATTTGCTCTTATCGCCCGAACAACATCATTTGCATCGTTTTCGTTCCCAGCTGATGTGGAACCATCAGCATTTTTGGAAGCATTATCGTCTATCAGTATCAAATCATCTGTTGCTTCTGGCTCATATGAAACCAAAAAACGTTTCATGTCGCATAGCGCTCTGGCAATCTTCAAGACCTTTTGGTACCGAATCACGCGCTTGCCGAGGTTTGATAGATTATTGTCTTCAACAAATGGGTGTCCAGCCTTCTCCGCAAAAACGTTCAGTAAAACCGAGTGGTTTTCTTGCTCACTGGAGATCAAGAGTTCAATCATTTCATTCTGTTGATCATCGTCCAGTTCCTCAAGGCATTCAAAAGGGAACATTCCAGGTGGGGCAGGAATTCTCTGATCAAGATAAATCAATGCTTCTGGAAGCTTCTGCTGTAGAGTTGCAACAAATGCCTCTGGGACATTCACATTATATGCATAACGGACAGTGCAATGTGTATCCGTCACTGACATCCCAAACTTGAGAAACTTAATGGGTATAAACTTCTGGAAGTTATCCCAACACATGAGAACAACTCTGAGATCTTTCAAGACTTTTAATTAAATCGTCATCAAACTTAGACAATCGGATGCTTTTGTCTCTAATCAAGCTGCGTCGTGATGAGCATTGGCCGTGCCATTCCATCAACCTTTGCGCCAATCCACAACCTCCTTCCGCGTCGAATGCGTACGCAAGTATCACGCCAAAGACAGAAAGAGACTTCTGGCTCAGAACCACAGCATCCAATGCTAACATATCATACTAGCATGACACTCTAACTGCTGTTCAGGATTGTTTACCTTTTGTTCTTGATTTCAAGTCTATTGCTGATGCTCAAATTCAGGACGCTGAGCTTTACAAGCTAATGCAAACCAAACCTCGAAAGTATGTCCAACATACCTTTGCACAAGACACCCAGGTGTATTGTTATGTAAGAAATGCCAATTCTCCATTGAAGATCTGTATTCCAACACAATTGTGACAACCTACCATCCAATGGTATCACGCTGCTCTCAGCCACCCAGGCTCCACAGGCCTCAAGGATATCATGCGCATCCATTTTTACAATCCAAAGTTTTCTAATGTTATCAAAGATTTTACCTCAAAGTGCGACACATGTCAATGACACGAGGCTGTTGGTAGAGGCCACGGCCACACTGCTCCCAAGGAAGCTCCACTCATCCCCTGGCAACAACTTGCACTTGATCTCATCAGTCCTTGGACACTCATGGTGGCAGGACAAGAGATCAAGTTCTGCTATGAGCCAACAACGATGTGGCAATGAGGTGGCAACAGCCTGACAAATACATCCTTATCAAGTCTGCAGTGGAAGTTGTGTGTATCCAGTACACACCTTCTCTTATAATGTCAGTATGGCTACCACGTTCTGTCAAGGGAAGTAAAGCTCATTATATCTCTTCAGCAATCTTTCTGTTGCTACTGTGCCTACATTGGCAAAGAAAGTCAGTTGATATTTAAGGGACCATGCCCCAAAATCAGCAGGGCGTGTCTTTTTGGGGCTTGGGTCACCTCCCCTAGAATTGATGAAGGCGATATTTTAAGAGAGCCTATGTGATTATGAAGCATTCTATGATTTGTCACTTTGTTTGTCACTTGCGACCTCTGACATTCAACTTAACCATGTCCTACTTTCAGAGTACCCTTCTTATTAGGAACCTTCCCCTTTGTTTGTTGTTGTGTTTGTCACTTGTGACCTTTAAAACCCAAATGAGCCATGTTAGAAGTAAGCGATCCACTGCAGCCTGCAATCTACCTGTTTAATTGACTGTGATTTAGCTGTCCAGGTATTGTTGCCTTCTAAGTATATGAATTTACAGTATATAGAAGTATATAGATCTATCAGAGATCCTACTTTGCTTATCAACCAATTCACTCGTTGCTTGCAATATATTATAAAAAGTGAGAACAGTCTGTCAACTTTTGACTTTGACTCTTTCATCTCCAGCTCAGTGGAAATTCTCAGAATTCTCTCTACGTCAGCCTGACATGCTGCAAGTTCAATCTGTTTATCCGTTCACCTTCCACTGTAGTCGGTACTTTGATTAGTATCCAACTTTGGTTCTTGCTTGAATCTTGCTTTCTTACATCATCAACAAGATGCTTTCCATAGAAATAAATTATCTTTTCTGACTTGCCACGTGCGATATTTTTAGTCGTATCAGTCTTCATTTTTAGTCGTATCAGTCGACATCATTTCTCTATCGTTCACATGTATTCTCTTTTTCTCGTTTCTCCAAATATGTACTTTGAAAATCCTAATATATCCAACATACTCCTGCCAGTTCATTAACATAGTTGATGACAACGGAACATCAAAGGAAATTGTGTTGCTCCTAATCTTGTTCTCCTTGAATCAATGATCTGAAATCCAAGAACTTTTGTCCCTGTAGAGGTTTGCTCATGAAATCTCCCCACATCTTTTCAGTTGGACAATATTCAATAGTCACATTTCCTTTCTTGACTTGATCAGTCATAAAGAAATATCGAATGTTCAAAGCTCGGCTTCGCTTTCCAGCACTATCACGTCCATTCTTTTCCAATAGAATAGAACTTTTGTTATCCTGGTATAGGATGTTCTTTTCAACAGGATGACCTTGTGCCTCCACAAACAATTTTGTCCACAATATCTGTGTCGCAGCATCATCAACACCAATCAATTTGGCTTATGTCGAACTTCGACTGTTCAACTTCTGTTTCTTCGAGATTATTTGCAATCCACCCTCACCCATAGTCAATACACCTCCAGTGTGACTTCTGAAATCTGGATGAACTGCAAATGATGCATCAATATACCATTTGAAAGTTCGTAAATCTTTTGCACTCAGCGTCAGGTGCATTCCCTTTGTTCCATTCAGATAATACATCAGCTTCACTAGCTTCTTCCAATCAGTTTCATTTGGTTTCTGTACTCTTGTAGAAAGTACTGAAATAGTTGGAGCAATATCCAATCTCGCTCTCTTACTCAGAAATAATCCTTTGGCAATGAATGTGTGAAAAGTTTCACGTTTCTCATCATCCACTTTTCCTCCTTTTCCGATTGATAGCAAATTGTTGCTTGCTGGTGTCTTACACCCTTCATTTTCCTTGAACTTCACAGGAAATTCATTCAACATTCGATTAACATAGTCATCCATTCGGACTTTGACTTTCCCCCTTTTACTGAAATCTAGGGTCATTCCCAAATATTCGTGAATTTTTCCTCGCTTGGATTTGACTGGTTTGATTGAACCATACTTTTGATTCATCCATTCACAAAAATCATCATTCACTTTTGGATCAATGTGGCTTGATAATAGATCGTCCACATGAAATCGAATAGTTTGTTGTTTGCCGTTCACAATCTTGTTGGCAATACATCCATCGTATGGATTGAAAATAAAACCATGTTTCTCCATGTCTCCTCTCAACTTTTTGTACCAAAGCATAGAGGCCTCTAACATCCCGTAGATGGCTCGTAATACTCTCACATAAATCACTCGTTTTCCGTTCTCAATTACACCGTAATCACGATACCTTGGCTCCAGTCGTATCATCATGTCGACCAATAAACCAGTGATCTTCATCATCACTCTTGATTTCACATCCATTGGCATTTGAGTTTGAATAAATGCATTTGGAATGTCCAAAGACATCATATCTCGTCCTTCATATGCATCAATTACACATGTGATCATAATTGCTTCCAATGCTGCAGTCGGACTTGAAGTATGCTCTTGAGATAGCCATTCTCGAGTTCCATCTCCTTTGTATACACATCTTCCTTTTATTTCACCAGTGTGTTTCTCAGCCAATAACATCATAGCATCTTGGGCTCTTCTTTTTTCCAAATCAGTCATGTCTTCAACATGAATCGGTTCCCAACATTCTCTTTGTATCAATTGGTCAAGCTCTTTCATCACAGCCTTATTACCTTCTTCTTTGAATAATTTCAGTCCATTATTTAGGTAGTATTGTTGGATAAACAATACTCCTTCATTTTGAACTTTATCCTTGATTTGTTGCATGAATCGCGCAATCAGAGTTGCCTTATCTTTTCCATATTCAGCTTTCTTGAATCATTTCAGTCCCTTATTTAGGTAGTATTGTTGGATAAACGATACTCCTTCATTTTGAACTTTATCCTTGGTTTGTTGCATGAATCGCGCAATCAGAGTTGCCTTATCTCTTCCATATTTGGTTTTCTTGTCACTTCCAACCTGTTGGAATAGTAGATTGTATTTCGACTCTTTTTTCGGAATCCTTTTCCTTGAATTTTCCTTCATTGAAATTATTTCATTCAAATAACCTTTCAATTTCTTGACTTTTTCCTTTTTTCTCATTGCACTCCTGTCCTTTAGCAAATTACACTTTGGTTTCTTTTGATTTAGGTGTTGTTTATTATACCTTGGTCGATCTCGATTATTATGTCTGGTTGGTCTCATTTTTATTCTGTCTAGAACATAAGATTTACCACTCCTGGTTTTCCTTGGACTGAATATGTCCTGTTTATTCACTTCATCATTTTCATAATTATCGTTGTCACTTGATTTGTCCAAATTATCGTCAGATTCATCATTTTCATTCTCATTATCATCCAAATTTGCCACAAATTTGCGAACATCATTGACTTGATTTTCACATTCTTAGATTTCATCTTGAATTTGGTCAATTAAATCGTCATTTTCCTCATATGTTTCGCGGGTTTCCTCGATTTGTTCTTCATTGTTAAGTGATTTGACATCTTCCTTGTCTTTTTGTATGTCTTCTTCAATTTCTTGAATCTTTTCATTTAAATCTTCATCATTCTGATATTTTTCATTTGGATTGTGATCTTGATTGGAATTATCATCATCATTTCTCCATCTCAATCGTTCATAAATACTTGCAACACTCCTGTCTTCTGTCTGTTCTTCAACATTTTCGGTGTGTTCATCGTCATAGTTTTCAATAAATTCTTCCGCTTCGGAAAGCCTGGCTACTACCTTGGTATGGACTATAATTTTGACGAGGAGATGAAGTGTTGGATTACTGGTACCAAGACCTATGTGGAAGAGTGTATCGGAAGGATCCAAGCTTTGCTTCCTCCTGGCCATATGCTCTGCACCCACAACACACCTGCGCCCTACAACAGGAAAGCTTCCCATCCTGAAGAGGACAAGTCCAATTTCCTTGATGACACTGGAAAACGCCAATATCAGATGTTGGTTGGCATGGCCCAATGGGCCATGACCATTGGACAAATGGACATTGCATATGCAGTCTCTTCGCTCACTCGCTTTTCCTCGGCGCCTCGTGAAGGCCATCTGGAGTTAGCTTTCTACCTTTTTGGCTATCTAAAGAAATTCCCCAACAAGCAACTGCCTGTCAACTCGCGTCCGCTTGAACTTTGCCCAACACTCACAGTGACCAAAGGTACATTCAAGGCAGATTTCCTTGAAGAGTATCCAGATGCAAAGGAGGACCAAGATCCCAAGGAACCCAAAGCCTTTGGAAAGCCAGTACAAACAAGTGTCTTCTTTGATGCCAATCTGGCACACGACCTAGTTACTCGGCGGTCCATAACTGGACTCCTTGTCTATGTCGGAAGCACCCTTGTTTCATGGACCTCCAACCGTCAGGTCTGCATCGCGTCAAGCACATATTGCTCTGAATTTATTGCTATGCGCGCTGCCACAGAAGAGGCAATATATGCTCTGTTCACTGGGTGTTCCTGTAGAGGAGCCTACCAATTTACTTGTGACAACCTGGGAGTCATCCAGAGCGCTGCCATGAAGGATGCAGATCTCAAGAAGAAACATGTCGCGATTTCTTACCATTGTGTTTGTGAGGCCGTTGCAGCTCAAATTATCAAACCAATTTGGTTTAAAACCAATGAAAATTGGAGTGACATTTGTACCAAGGCATTGAGTGGCCTTAAACAAAATGCCATTCTGTCTAGGACGATGTTGTAACAAAAAGGACAATATCTCTGCATCCACCTCAGCACCTTGCCGTAAGATAATCCATTATGCTTCTTTGGTTTCTATTTTGGATTTTTTAACCCTAACCTTTTTTTTTGTGATACGTCTTCTTAACATGTGGCAAAGTGCCATGCTTGAGAGGAGTGAGTTGTCTCCGTCTATTCCAGACAAAGAAGAGGTGGTCAGGATCGAGTTAGTCGTCATACAACTTACTAGATCGTCTGTCCATATTCCGTTCCCAACTCACTCAACACATCACCATCTAGTCACTCTATGAGTTTATGTTGACACATATTCTAAAAATTCAGCAACAAATCCAAACAAATCCATCAATGGAGTTTTGTGGAGCCTGAGACACCCTGGAAGATCAGCAGGGCAAAACAAATCATCCAGGAAGTACTGAGGATCTGTCGTCCGATAGAGAAGCTGTAGATTGTGGAGGAAAGAAGTGGACGATGAAGGGAACGTGATTCCAAAAGTCATCTTGAAAATGATTTGTGAAATGGGCAAGGAGTCTACCAGGTACAGGTACGAAGGGAGATCGGAAAAGTGGGATTCCAAGAAACTTGCTACTAGGCTCAGAAGTTTTAAAAAGGCGAACAATATCTTGGAGCATATGATGGGATGAAAATTCAGCAGGGCAAAAGAAATTCTATGGGATCTCTTGCACACCGCTGCTCCTGGAGTCGCCCATTCCTTTCTATGGGGAAAAGTTGACTACAAAAGTCATCTTGAAGAAGGTGTGTGACATGAGCTGCAAGAAAAATAGGAAGTGGAGCAAGGTGATTCCGAATATTTTGCTGATGGACTGAGAGCGCTGCAGAAGCAAGAAAACCAGAAGATCAGCAGAGTCGTCAAGGACTACTAGGCTCATGTCAAACAATTTGTTGACAACCATCCAGTAACATCCTTTCAAAGCTACTACAAAATATCCATTGACAACAAACGGATGCCCAGAAGCTTCTGTGTCAAGCTATGGACGAGGATGGAAAAGATAAGCCTAAACGGCCATTTTAGAATTTGCTGTTAAATTTATTATATGACATGAATGATATATGAAAATTGATGGCAAGTTGTCTGTGATTTCGGTCCGAATTCAAATCTGAGAATTTCTCAGATTTAATTAAATTTGGCCTTTGGCAGGCTGGGGCAATTTTTTTAAATCTGAGAAATTCTCAGATTTGAAAAGCCAAGGTATCCAAAATTGGGCAAAAATATTGATTGACGTATGTAGAATGTAACATAATCAAATCTGAGAAACTCTCCGATTTGAATTCTGTTCGCAAAAGGGTTAACAAGTTTCCATCAGGAAAATCCCTTGTTTACAGAACTCAATCCAACTTCTACAAGGACTCTGTGTTGAATACAGTACTTTGGGACATCTTGTATTATTCCCTACTGCATCATACAAAACACCAATACTCCACTTGTATAGGGTCATTCCCTTTCCATGTGGGTATAGATTGTCCAACAGACTTGCGTTGGATTGCTGACATCAAATTAAATTCTGATTGTGCGTGGAAAACGTTTTACTGGAATAGTTTCTTGTTATATCCCAACATGGATAAGATTTTCCCTCCCTACAATAAGGCAGGCTTTCATGTCAAGGCCAACTCCAAAGAAGACACACAATGACTTCTTCAGTCCACCAGAGGAATTGTATCAACATAATTGAACCATCTAAATTTGTATTTGAATGTACAACACTTCCACAAGAATAGTTCTTCTATGTTAGGTATACTTTGAGTGAAATTGTTCCTATTTGAATACTATTTGGCTCGAATTGATGATTCAATCACAAAAGTGGGTTAACGAGTTTCCATCAGGGAAATCCCTTGTTTACAGAACTCCATCCAACTTCTACAAGGACTCTGTGCTGAGTACTTTGGGACATACTGTATTATTCCCTACTGCATCATAAAAAACACCGATATTCCACTTGTATAGGGCCATTCTCTTTCCATGTGATTATACATTGTCCGACAGACTTGCGTTGGATTGCTGACATCACAATTAGAATCTGATAGTGCGTGGAAAACGTTTTACTGGAATAGTTTCTTGTTATATCCCAACATGGATAAGATTTTCCGCCGCTACAACAAGGCAGGCTTTCATGTCAAGGCCAACTCCAATGAAGACACACAATGACTTCTTCAGTCCACCAGAGGAATTGCCGTTAAAAGGAGGGTTTTTGCCTAAACAGAAAAAATAGACAGTTGGAATTTGAAAATGTTTTCTTCTGGAACACCCGGCAGAACGAGGCTTTTTTAGCGTTAGGTATATCCAAATTTTGTTAAATATGATATTTAGGAAGAATACTCGATTTTCGATTTTTTTAGAATGACAAGGTACAACAACACCCTTTTCTAATTTTTGACATATATCTGCTTTCTATCAACAGTCAACGGACTTTTCCTCACAATCCTCTTGGGCCAATTAATGGAAATTAGCGAAATTGAGCAAAAGAGAAAATCCTGCAAAAACGCTCACCCGCCGCAAACTTCCGTTCAAAAAAACTCAAGTTAACTCAAAGAAACTCAGAAAACTCAAAACAACTAAAAAAACTCATTTAACTAAAAAACTAAAAATACTCAAGTTAACTCAAAAAAACTAAAAAAACTCAAGTTAACTAAAAAAATCTAAAAAATCACTTCAGCCTCAGAGACTTGAGGGATAATTTCATGTCTCAAAACTACCCAAACTATTTGCCCCCATATTTGTCGCCCGGCCAGTCGTTCTCATCGTAAACCGTTGAAATAGTCGTTATTAATTTTTCAAAAATGGCTCAACAAAAATTGCCAATCTGATGTAGGTACAAGTATTCAAACGAAGTCACAATAATTTCAAAAAAAAATTCAAATTACACCATGGGTACTGCCACATGAAAAAGTGGGCCATCATGAATTGCTTGAAGCTGGCACTAGATTTTTCCTTTGCGGTGAGTCTAGCCTCCTCAATGTCAGTGGTGCATAGATCATACCATTGCTTTGCGATGACAACGAAAGAACTTCCATAGTGAGCTCTGAACATCTCTTCTTGCCATTGGGCTGGATGGCCCTTTGGGTACAAACCTGCAAGAAGCTCCAATGCCATTTTGCTTGCCACCTCTGGAGAAATGAGGAACTGGGAGATGGGACCGAACATCATTGATGCTGGCTTGTTTGTTTGTGCTTTTTAGTTTGTTGGGGCGATCAATTTAAGCGAGCTTGCTTTGTCGTCCGCAATCCCCAAACTCATTGAACTGAAAAAAACTCAAGTTCGCTTAAAAAAACCCAAGAAAACTCAAGCTCGCTCAAAAAACTCAAGAAAACTCAAGTTCGCTCAAAAAACTCAAGTTCGCTCAAAAAACTCAAAAAAGCTCAAGTTTGCTAAAAAAAACTCAAGTTCGCTCAAAAATCTCACCTGCGGGTGAGTTTCTTATTCTGCTTACCCGCGGGTGAGTTTTTTGGTGGAAAATTGAGCGAATTTTAAAAAAGCGCTGATAGATCCTGAACCAATCAAATGTGTCGTGGCTCACATTAGTCCACTAGTCCAACTAGTCGAATCATATCAGTCAAATGAACATCGATTACTCTGATATGAGTACTTCTACAAACTCCCCCTTACTCAGCATGTCCACAGTAGTCTTGTCAAAAGCAATTTTGCCAAATGTCGAGTACATCTATTACCTATGCTACGAGCCGACAGTGATGTGGCAATGAGGTGGCAACAGCATGACGAATACATTCTTATCAAGACTGCAGTGGAAGTTGTGTGTATCCAGTACATGTGGTCCTCAAAAATGTGACAAGCTGGTTCTGACCCAGCTACCGGTATATCCTATCTATTTGTCACGCCTGAAGACCACTATCCATATAAACCTGGATTTTCCCCAAGTACTTTGTTAGTCCCAACAGTACTTCATTAGTTCTAACACGCGCACGTGAATTCCCAACAGTACACACCTTCTCTTCTGATGTCAGTATGGCTATCGCGTTCTGCCCAGGGAAGTAATTCTCCATTAAGCTCATAATGTCTCTCTAGCAATCTTTCAATCGCTACTGTGCCTAAGTTAGTCCTCAGCCTCTTGTGGGACATGGCATTTTTGATCAAAAAGTCCGATTCAATTTCAAGCACAACATCATGTCCGACTATCACGTCTTTCCTATGCAATACGAACCCATCGAAGGAGAAAACCTCAGAGTCAAGGTGGATGTCGACCATTCAACTTTTTCCGTCTACCTCAAGAAGTTGGACATCACCCAGATGTCCCTACACAAGTGTGTGGACTTCGCGCAGACTCTCCTTGACGATGTGACTCTCGAAGTTGGCCGGAACGATGACGAGCTCCTTGGTAGAGCCCTCAACAAGTTTTGGTCAAAGGCTGTCCCTCCTCTCAAATGACAAGTTTGGGAAGCGCTCCCAAACTACATGGACATGGACGAGGAATCCGTTGAGAACTGGAAAAACAAAGTCCAGGACTGGATCCTGACCAAATGTACTGAAGAAGACGCGGCTGCAGTTTTATATCAGCTCCGTACCTGGAGAAAGCCAAGATCGGCAACAATCATGGACAATCAAATGTACATGAAGAAGGTAAACTCTGCAATCCCTTACATGTCTGAAACTCTTGACCCTCTTGACGAAGCAGAATTAAAGAGAGTTGGTTTTCTTCAATGCTCACCCCAAGCCTTGGAAGGACGCCTTCTTGGAGATCAACGGTACCATCGACAGCCATTCCGTTGCCAGCATCACTTCCTACATGCAACGCAAGGCTCGACAAGCACACGACAAGGAATTGAAGAATCAACTTCACCAGAAGATAGAATCCAAAAAGAAGAAACATCACAGGGAGGATTCAAAACCTTTCTAGAAATCTCGTACCGACCCAGAGGAAAACAAGATGGACAAAGACGAGTACCACAAGCGCGCGGCGGAACTTGCAAAGACAGCCAAGCTGACCGAAATTTGCTCGCTCAAGCCCAGTCATAAGAATCACACAATCAGCAACTACAAGGCCCGAATGAGCAACAAGAAGTCCAACAGCTTTGCTATCATCAATCTCCCTGGAGATAAGCTGGATGATGATTTGACCACCTCTAAAGAGACCGACTCATCCATTAAGAATGGTGCGTTCTACATGAACAATGAATCTTACTATGTCCCAACTTTCTCTCACCACATTGATTTCTGTCGCTTTGACAGCCTGAACAACATTGTTGATTCAAACTTTCTAGACGATCTTAGGTTATCATATATGTCAAACGTAAAAGACGCCTACGAAAACGGTGCAGAAGTCCCCGAGACTATCAGTGAGAAAGTAGACATTAGTAAAGAATTAAACTTATTGCTTCGACCAGAATCTGTTTCTGTTATAAAGATGATGCAAAAAACTTGTGTCAACAAACTTGCATGTGTGTTCTTTGATCCTGGATCAGATGAATCTTACATCCATCGTAGAATTTTGCCCGCTGGAATCAATGGAAAAACCGTGAAGAAAAAAATTGGAACGATAAGCGGCAAACAATCTTTGACCACGCAAGTCATAAACATTGAGGGAATCGTTTTCCCTGAATTTTCTCCCACGCAAAAAGTGGAATCCACGTTTGAAACAATTGTTTTTGATTCAGACGCGAGGTACGATATGATTATTGGAAATAATATTTTACTTCCCCTTGGAATCGATTGTTGCGGATCTACCAAAACAATCAAATGGATGGACAAACACGTACCTTATAAGCCGCCCGAATCTGGCCTCAGTCCTCAAACTACTGATCCAAACGAAGATACATCCATGTTGATGGCGCAATTGATGGCAACCCATTGCTATCACTCAGACCCTGATGAAAGTCTCAATGAACACATTGAGCAACAGATATCTCATTCCTTTAATATTGCAGAATCCAAATATGATTTAGTTCCCTTGGAACATGTTGCCAAACAACAACAACATCTAAATGCCAAGCAACAACAACATCTAAATGGTCAACAACACAAGGCTGTCGGTAGAGGCTACAGCCACACTGCTCCCAAGGAAGCTCCACTCATCCCCTGGCAACAACTTGCAGTTGATCTCATCGGTCCTTGGACACTCATGGTGGCACGACAAGAGATCGAGTTCAGAGCCTTGACAATCATTGACCTAGTGACCAACTTGGTCAAAATTGTGCGCATTCAGGACAAAACGTGTGCGAACGTAACGCTTCAGTTTGAAAACGCTTCAGTTTGAAAACGCTTGGCTCGCCCGTTACCCGCGCCCTGCAACCGTCATCCATGACCAAGGAACCGAATTCACGGGATTCGACTTTCAAAATCATTTGAATCTACACGGAATTGAACCTCGTTCTATCTCTGCCAAGAATCCTCAAGCAAATGCAGTTTGCGGACGGATGCATCAAACTATTGGCAACTCTCTTAGAGTATTGGTTACACTGAACCACCCTTTTGACACCAATGATGCCGAACAATTAGTTGACACTGCCATTGCAAATGCAGTCTATGCACACCGCTGCTCTTATCACGGAACTATAACCACTATGCCCAGATCACTTGCCTTCCACCGTGACATGACCCTTCCAATGCAAGCTGACCTTCAGCTCATTCAACAACATCGACAACAGCTCATTGATACGAGCCAATCGTCGCCAATTTGCTTATGATTATCAACCCGGCCAGAAAGTTCTAAAGCTTTGCTATAAGCCAAACGAGCTGGACCCTTGAGCCTATGGACCATGTCGTATTGAACGAGTCCACTCTAATGGTACCCTTACCATTCGACTTGCTCCTCATGTAATTGAACGTGTCTCCTTACGATGAGTCAAACCTTACCGACGATGAATTGGTTTCATCCTACTTGCAAGGTTCCCTTCTATCTCCCATGTCGGGTCCTCTGGAATCTAGAGGATAACCTTGGGTGGCAGAATGTCGTGGCTCACATTAGTCCACTAGTCCAGCTAGTCCAACTACTCAAATCATATCAGTCGAATGAACATCGATTACTCTGATATGAGTACTTCTACAAACGCCCCCTTACTCAGCATGTCCACAGTAGTCTTGTCAAAAGCAATCTTGCCAAATGTCTAGTACATCTATTACCTATGCTACGAGCCGGCAGTGATGTGGCCATGAGGTGGCAACAGCCTGACGAATACATTCTTATCAAGACTGCAGTGGAAGTTGTGTGTATCCAGTACACACCTTCTCTTCTGATGTCAGTATGGCTATCGCGTTCTGCCCAGGGAAGTAGTTCTCCATTAAGCTCATAATATCTCTCTAGCAATCTTTCAATCGCTACTGTGCCTAAGTTAGTCCTCAGCCTTTTGTGGGACGGCAAAATGATTGAATGTGTTCGTCACGTTGAGAACCATTAAGTGTTTTTTCTTAAAGGCTCTCACTAGGAAGTATAATTACTCAACCAGAAAGTCTCATTCTGCCGGGAACGGCCGGGAAATAGAAATTTAGCATACAATTCTTGGGAGTAGATATTGATTTTCCCGGCCGTCCCGGGTGTTCCTGATAGGGAGCATTCGGTGTGCCTTTTTGGTACTTCGAAGAAACTGTTCCAACCACAACTCGCTTAAGATCCAAGACCTCAGTCTGTCCCTTGTGCCCTACTATATCAGAGAGCCTTCGTTTACAACCCGCAGTCACCAATACGAGTCTGATTGAAGAATTTTGCACCGAATGAAAGTTGCCAGAACCTATGTCGGGAAAAGCTTGCAAATTGTTTACTTAGTATGCTTTTCATCTTTCTTTTGGACTACACTCAAATTTCTTCCTCCCTCAAATGACGGCGGGAGCAATCATTTTGACGCTACAGGTTGTACTGAGCGGCTTGATAAGCTGGAAGAGCGGTTCAATCAACGACGGAAGGCTCGCATTGATGCCTTGCCCGGGACGAACTTAACCAAGTTATCAGAAATAAATCCATCTCAGAAGATATCAGTCTTTGATGCGTTTGAACCAGAAGCATCTTGTTTTGCTGAAGAACGTTTTGGATCTAAATCTGCGATAAGATTCAACTCATTTGGAGATGGACCAAAATTTATCTGTGGAGTCGACAATATTGCAAACAAGGAATATGCTAGGAAACAAAATTTCGATGCTGAGCCGAGCCTCCCTTGTTTGGTTTATTCCGTTGGAAGTAAAAACGAGATCGAATTCGAAAAGGCCGTTCATCACTTCTTGGGATGCGAGACTCATACATTTGACCCTACCCTAGAAGAAGAATTTAAAGGCCATGAGTACGCAGTCTTTCATCCTTGGGGAATCGGATTGGATGGAGAGCAGCACGAAGTTGGAAAGCACAGCTTTATTTCGAGGAGTCTACAAACCATCATCGCCCAGCTGGGACACACCAAAAGAACAATTGATATTCTGAAGATTGATTGTGAAGGCTGCGAGTATAGAGCAATGCCACTACTATTTGATCTGATCGCCAAAAAAGAGCTTCAGATTAACCAGATTCAAATAGAGCTGCATGAAACTGATTTCGATCAAGTGACAAAGTTTTTTGAAGCAGGCGATAAGGCTGGAATGCGAATCTTCCACAAGGAAAGGAATGCCTGGGGATGTCAAGGTTATCTCTGTGTTGAGTACTCTCTAATTACAGAGTCTTTTCTTCGTGAGGTGAACAAGGGAGAAGTTTGTGGATAGAACTTATTTTTCAACTGCAAATACACTGCCTCCTTGCTTTGTTTTCATCTTATCATACTTATTCCACGATTCCACGTCTAGATAGTTTAGGGGGGAGGAAGGAAGAGGAAGACTGTTTTCAAGAGTGTTCTTTCGCGGCACATATATCATACAGTACTAACCCAACCCAACCTTCACAGAAGGGTCAGTCTTTATTGTAAATTTCATCGTCACGATCCATTTTGACATTGAGTTTGTCAAATTCGATCCATTTACCTGTAGGAAGCGAACTCTTCCCCTCACACAATTCTCCATTTGCGGTAAACGCCAGCCAAAACGTTGTCTTTACCTGGTAAATAGGTAAACGTAGGCAAAAATTCTTCCATGTACATTTGCCAGCGTAAAACTCGTTGTGTATTCAACATGCGGAAAGTGAGATTTCTGTGGTCAGTAAAGATAGTCAATTGCGTACTATAAAGCATAGATCAAAACTCTTTCAAGCAATGCACAATAGCCAACATTTCTTTTTCCACTACAGAATACTTCTTTTGTGCATCAATACGCAACCGGCTTCTTGTCTTGCATGATTACCGCGCCCATCTGATAGTCAGAAGCGTCAGTGTTCGTAAAGTTCAAAAGGCTTAGTTGGATTTCAGTTCTGGTGGACATCAGACAAGCGACAGGCTTGATGTCGTCCAAACTGATTGACAACTTTGTGGCCCATGAAGCCATCATTGCCAACTAGCCGTGCCAACATGCGACCCATCAAGTCGTCATGCAGAGGCACTGACCATAGCGATCTCCGATCCGTCTAATAGGAAAAAATCATCTCTACAGGAAATAACTATTCTAAAAGACTTGCTATATACATGGAATGGGCAAAGCAAAAGCCTTGGACGAAAACTCAAATTTCCCAAACCTTTACTGTATTGAAAGGCCTGTACAAAACCCACGTACAGAACTCCTGGGAGTTGCGGGGAGTTTGCATCTGATGCGTGTGACGCGTCGTAACTTGTTATTTATTTTCCGAATCAAACCGCGCATGCCAAACGAAACAACACCGAACAGAGCGGAGGATTCCAAACGAAACCAAACGACACGAAACCACACGTCTCGTGTTGTTTCGGAATAAAACCAAAAGAAACGAAACGAAACCACACGATCGTGTCGTTTGGTTTCGTTTCGTTTGGTTTCGCTTCGTTTGGTTTTGTTTCGTTTGGTTTCGTTTTGTTTGGTTTCGTTTCGTTTGGTTTCGATATATTCTAAAAAATTGTTCGTTTGCTTTGGTTTCGATATATTGAAAAATCGTTTGTTTGGTTTCAATATATAAAACAATCGAAGATATTGCTTGTTGTTGGTTCTGCGCCTTCCTTTTCGAGGCGAACGATTTTTCAATATATCGAACCAATCGAAACCAAACGAACAATTTTTTAGAATATATCGAAACCAAACGAAACGAAACCACCAAACAAAACGAAGCCAAACGAAACAAAACCAAACAAAGCGAAACCAAACAAAACGAAACCAAACGACACGAAACCAAATGACACAAAACCAAACAAAACGAAACCAAACGAAACGAAACCAAACGACACGAAATCGCGTGGTTTCGTTTTGTTTGGTTTTATTCCAAAACAACACGAGACGTGTGGTTTCGTGTCGTTTGGTTTCGTTTGGAAACCTTCGCTCCGTTTGGTGTTGTTTCGTTTGGCATGCGCGGTTTGATTCGGAATAAATAACAAGTTACGACACGTCACACGCATCAGATGCAAACTCCCCGCAACTCCCTGCAGGATTCAGTATGGGATTTTCATGCGCTCAGACTGTTTGATAGTCCAAGCGCACAATTCCATGTTTTTGGATTCCCTGTAAACACCGACTCATAGGAATCCCCCAAATAAACGGACCAAACGGACATTTGTCTGTCTGTCCGATTGGACATGTCAAACTGCTTCGATCAAGGAGTTTCCAATGAATGGTCTCCAAGAGAGCAATTCCAACAGGCTTGTTGTGATCTGGATAGTGCATTAAAATATCGCTGGCCATCAAAGACTTCATAGTATCACATTCGTTGGTCCAGACAAAAGATCTGGTGCCAGGGAGAGCTGTTAAAGGTTGCAAAAGGTAAGAATGTTGCGGCCACATGTGACGATAGTATGTCACATTGCCCAAGAAAGCTTGAAGTTCAGTACTGTTGCAAGGTGCATCCATTTTTAGGATGGCGTCTACCTTTTTCTTCCACGGCTTGACACCTTCAGGGGTCAACCAATGGCCCAAGAAATCAGTTTCTTGAACTCACCATTCACACTGCAAAGGATTGATTTTGAAGCCAGCTTCCTGTAGACGGTCGACCACTGTCTTGATCAATTGCATGTGTTCTTCATAAGAATTAGAAAAGAGTCCAACATTGTTGATGTAGACTTCAACACCTTGCTCTTTTAACCCATGCAATGTTTTCTCAATGTAGTATTGAGCAACATCAGGAGCGGGTTTCAATCCCATTGCCATTCGTTGATACTGATATTTGCCGTATTGTGTGACAATTGTGCACAATTCTTTACTTTCATTGTCAAGCTCAAAAGAATAATACATGATTGTGAGATCAAGTTTTGTAAAGAATTTGTTGTTAGAAGTAAGCGATCCAGTGCCGCCTGCAATCTACCTGTTTCAATTGACTGCGATTTAGCTGTCCAGGTATTGTTGCCTTCTAAGGATGTGAATTTACAGTATATAGAAGTATATAGATCAATCAAAGATCCTACTTTATCAACCAATTCACTTGTTGCTTGCAATATATTATAAAAAGTGAGAACAGTCTGTCAACTTCTGACTTTGACTCTTTCTTCTCCAGCTCAGTGGAAATTCTTAGAATTCTCTCTACGTCAGCCTGACATGCTGCAAGTTCAATCTGTTTATCCGTTCACATTCCACTGTAGTCGGTACTTTGATTAGTATCCAACTTTGGCTCTTGCTTGAGTCTTGCTTTCTTACATCATCAACAGGATGATTTCCATAGAAATATAATTCGTTTTCTGACTCGCCACGCTCGATGTTTTTAGTCGTATCAGTCTTCATTTTTAGTCGTATCAGTCGACATCATTTCTCTATCGTTCACATGCATTCTCTTTTTCTCATTTCTCCAAATATGTACTTTGAAAATCCTAATATATCCAACAACATGGCCCCAGAGTATCGCGAATACGTTGTATTAGAGAACAGAAAGCGGGTAATCTATGTGCGGGTACTACGTGCTATATATGGGATGTTGCAATCGAGCCTCCTATTCTATAATCAGTTTTGAAGTGATTTGGAGGAAGAAAATTGTCGCAAGAGCGCGGGCAAAAGAAGCCAAGCTATCAATATTCGTTATTTCTTTATCACAGATCAAGTTGAGAAAGGAAATGTTAAGATCAAATACTGTCTAACTGACGATATGATTGCGGATTTCATGACTAAGCCATTGCAAGGTGAGAAGTTTCGCAAGTTCAGGGATCTGATTCTTGGTCCACAGGACTAGGTCAGACAAGTATGTATATGTTCAAAAATGAATATACAAAAAAAAAATAAACAGTGAATGAGATCATGTCCCATTGCTGCCAATGGTGATTGTCACAATGGCAGGAGTGTGTTGGGATATGAAATATGAATTTTTACGTTCCAAAAAGAAACTATTCAAGTACAAAGTTTTCAACACGTATTGATCGTGATGTCGGGATTTGACGCAAGTATGCCAGACGCATGTCTGTCGGACAATCTACATCCACACAAAAAGGGAATGACCCTATACAAGTGAGATATTGATGTTGTGTACAATGCAGTAGGGAATAATACAAGATGTCCCAAAGTATTGCATCCAACACAGAATTGTCGTAGAGGTCAAATCAAGTTCTGTGAACAAGGGATTTTCCAAGGGAAAATTTCCAAGGGAAAATCGTTGAACTTACTTTTGTGATTGAATCGTCAATTCAAGAAAAATATTAATCAAATAGGAACAATTTCACTCCAAGTATACCTAGACACAGATAACTGTAGTTGTGAAAGTGTTGTACAGTCGATTACAAATTTAGATTGCAGAGAGTTTGTTCTGAGCGCTAAAGGCACTCACGATAGAGCACATTTTGCTTTATTCTAACAAGCTTCTTCCAATCAGTTTCATTTGGTTTCTGTACTCTTGTAGAAAGTACTGAAATAGTTGGAGCAATATCCAATCTCGCTGTCTTACTCAGAAATAATCCTTTGGCGATGAATGTATGAAAAGTTTCACGTTTCTCATCATCCAATTTTTCTCCTTTTCCGATTGATAACAAATCGTTACTTGCTGGTGTCTTACACCCTTCATTTTCCTTGAACTTCACAGGAAATTCATTCAACCTTTGATTAACATAGTCATCCATTTGGACTTAGACTTTCCCCCTTTTACTGAAATCTAGGGTCATTCCCAAATATTCGTGAATTTTTCCTCGCTTGGATTTGACTGGTTTGATTGAACCATACTTTTGATTCATCCATTCACAAAAATCATCATTCACTTTTGGATCAATGTGGCTTGATAATAGATCGTCCACATGAAATCAAATAGTTTGCTGTTTGCCATTTACAATCTTGTTGGCAATACATACATTGTATGGATTGAAAATAAAACCATGTTTCTCCATGTCTCCTCTCAACTTTTTGTACCAGAGCATAGAGGCCTCTAACATCCCATAGATGGCTTGCAATACTCTCACGTAAATCACTTGTTTTCCGTTCTCAATTACAACGTAATCACGATACCTTGGCTCCAGTCGTATCATCATGTTGACCAATAAACCAGTGATCTTCATCATCACTCTTGATTTTGCATCCATTGGAATTTGAGTCTGGATAAATGCATTTGGAATATCTAAAGACACCATGTCTCGTCCTTCACATGCATCAATTACACATGTGATCATAATTGCTTCCAATCCTTTTCCTTGAATTTTCCTTCATTGAAATTATTTCATTCAAATAACCTTTCAATTTCTTGACTTTTTCCTTTTTTCTTGTCGCACTCCTGTTCTTTAGCGAATTACACTTCGATTCAGGTATTGTTAATTCGATCAATTAAATCGTCATTTTCCTCATATGTTTCACGGGTTTCCTCGATTTGTTCTTCATTGTTAAGCAATTTGACATCTTCCTTGTCTTTTTGTATGTCTTCTTCAATTTCTTGAATCTTTTCATTTAAATCTTCATCATTCTGATATTTTTCATCATCATCATTTCTCCGTCTCAATCGTTCATAAATACTTGCAACACTCCTGTTTTTCTGTCTGTTCTTCAACATTTTTGGTGTGCTCATCATCATAGTTTTCAATAAATTCTTCCGCTTCTTCAAGTAAAGCATCAATTTCATCTTGATCAATCTTTTCATTACAAAGATTCTCATCACTTCCTTTGTATTCATTTTCACGTGGAATATATGTATCATCCCACAGTTCATCTGGGTCCACTCCTGCGAGCAAATCACCATCCAATATGATTTCACCATTCTTCCAATGATAAGTATGCAAATCACGAACGCCCTCGTCGTGTGCCATTTGTTCCACAATTTTGATCACTTGCTTGGTGATCGGAAGTACCATTACATAGGGTCTCGTTACTGTCTTTTTTGTATTAAGATCAAGTAACATATGTCCCGCTTGTATGCTGTCATTTACTCCAAGATAAATACCATCAATCGTTCTTGATCGTTGACTGTTGTTGGTCGTGTGACCATATCCTTGTACAAAGGATCCAATTTCAGCAACACATTCTTTTGAAAAATCTACCGGTTTTCGTCTCACAATCATGTGTGGACTGTAATATTTTGAAATTCCCTCCTTTGCAGGATAAAAGTTAGTAACCTTTGTCACATGCTTGAGTAACGCAATAGTCAAAACCTTGGGAATTGCCTTGAACACCATTCGATGATAGTGTGCTCGGAATAATCCTTTCACTGTTTGATTGCTGCGCTCAATAGTTGGTTCGTGTTCGCCTGGCGCGGCATAATTCATGGTCACATCCAAATTATCTTTCACGTCATCAAATACCGGTTTGAATTCATTGTTGCAATAAATAGTTTTGATTCGAAATTCCGCATGATTATAAATGTGTAAAATTTTGTCAATCGACTTGTAAATTGCATCTTTCGACCGATCTTTCAGTTCAGTACTGAATCAGAATTTGATCGCTTTGTCAATGCTGACAAAAAAACGCGACATTGTTGATGAACATAATGTCAATGCATAAATCCAGGTTTGAATTGTGTTTCAGTAGTTCCTTGGGCATTTCGATCCAATCATCAATCACCATCTTTGGTGTTGGTTGCTTTTGTTTGCCCTTAATTGTTGAAACGCTCGGTCCATATATCTTTTCAGAGATATTAACCCTTTTGCGAACAGAATTCAAATCTGAGAGTTTCTCAGATTTGATTATGGTACATTCTACATACGTCAATCAAAATTTTGGTCCAATTTTGGATACCTTGGCTTTTCAAATCTGAGAATTTCTCAGATTTAAAAAAAATTGCACGCCAGCCTGCCAAAGGCCAAAATTAATTAAATCTGAGAAATTCTCAGATTTGAATTCGGACCGAAATCACAGACAACTTGCCATCAATTTTTATATATCATTCATGTCATATATATTTTTTAAATTTTTTTTGTTGGAATGCATGATCTCACGGTCAAACAACCAAAGGTGCGCCATATATCTCCCCAAAACCATTGAATATTCAGCATCATGCTTGGATGATACTATACAGGGAGAAGAAACCCACCAAAACTTCTGCTAGTAGCACCTTGCAACCATGGCAGAAGATCTTGCCAATAGAAGAATGCGTGGACTTGGTTCTTGTGTTTGCTGGGCCAGAGGCTCCACCTTATTGTGGCAATCATTGCAAGGCCAATGTCTTCAATTGAATCCATGCGATCTTATTGGAGATGATTGCCGAGCACTGTACCATCAATGCATTTGATCAATTTCCTTGCATAGCAACAATGCCATAGTGAAATCCATTTCCTGGTCATGAGAGTTGCTTTTAAAATGGGAGCAGGATTGAGGAGATCCAACACTTGATACGATTGAAGAATTAGCGATGTGGCGTTTACAAGACAATCAGCTTCATGACGGCATCTTGGAATCAGGCTGGCTCTTCCTAGAAGATGAGACAAGGTTTCATGGACAGCCAATGAATCAGGCTCCCAAGTTGGAAGTCAGAACAAGAACAATAACATTACTATTGAGATCCACCTCCTGGTCAGGAGAGTTGCTTGTCAATTGGAGGCTGAAGAAGATTACCAACCATGGCTATGTAATCTTGTCCGATGAGCTCATAAATAGTACAGTAGCATATGTTTTAAAAAACATTAGGCCTATTACCACCTAGTATAAACTATTTACCTACTAATGACTACCGGTAGGAAGCATCACCAAACAAATGTTGGTGTTGTCCCTGTTAGCTAACACCATACTTTGGCACTGAAAGAATGATAGTCAATCACAGTGAGTCTGGGTCCCATCACAGATGAAAAGTCAATACAAGCACTAACCATAGTGGCACCAACTTTATCTGCTTCGCATTGCCATCAGTCAAATCCATTTCATCAGGCAAAAAGTACTATACTAATACTAATTGGAGCACAATCATTAAGGCAGTGGAACTCTAAGGTGAAGATGATCCATCAATCACTTGCTATTAGTATACTTTTATGAAGTGGAGCAATCATGGAAGCATAAGCACCATGACTGTCCAAAAGGACATCAGCAGGAACTAAGATCAGTTCCAGTTCCAACGAGTAGATTTGTCTCCCTAATAACTAGTCCGGCGCCATTGTTGCATATTTATACATTGGAGCATTCATTCTCTTTGATCTGTACCCTGGGGGAAGCATAGGTAAGCATGACAATCAACTGAAACTCTTGACCAACAAGAAGAATCAGCTGGAACTCACAAACTGGGCCATCAGGTCCAGTTCCATACTTGACAGAATTGCCTCTGCGATGTCCCAATTGCTCACCAGTATGTATTCATTGATTGTAACAATCACCATATTGGACCTATATGGTGGAAGCACATGGTAAGCATGATGATGGATCGAAATTCCGCAACAAGCATCAGCTGGAACTCACCATTTTGTCCATCAAATCCAGTTCTACTCATCAGAATTACCGTGGCCATGTCCCAATTGCTCACCAGTATGTATTTCTTGATTGGAACAACCATCATATTGGACCTATATGGTGGAAGCACATGGTAAGCATGATGATGGATCAAAATTCCACAACAAGCATCAGCTGGAACTCACCATTTTGTCCATCAAATCCAGTTCTACTCATCAGCATTGCCTCGACCATGTCCCAATTGCTCACCGGTATGTATTCATTGACTGGAACAATCATTATATTGAACCGATATAGTGAAAACACATGGTAAGCATGATGATGGATCGAAATTCCGCAACAAGCATCAGCTGGAACTCACAAACTGGGCCATCAGGTCCAGTTCCATACTTGACAGAATTGCCTCTGCGATGTCCCAATTGCTCACCAGTATGTATTCATTGATTGTAACAATCACCATATTGGAGCTATATGGTGGAAGCACATGGTAAGCATGATGATGGATCGAAATTCCGCAACAAGCATCAGCTGGAACTCACCATTTTGTCCATCAAATCCAGTTCTACTCATCAGCATTGCCTCGACCATGTCCCAATTGCTCACCGGTATGTATTCATTGACTGGAACAATCATTATATTGAACCGATATAGTGAAAACACATGGTAAGCATGATGATGGATCGAAATTCCGCAACAAGCATCAGCTGGAACTCACAAACTGGGCCATCAGGTCCAGTTCCATACTTGACAGAATTGCCTCTGCGATGTCCCAATTGCTCACCAGTATGTATTCATTGATTGTAACAATCACCATATTGGAGCTATATGGTGGAAGCACATGGTAAGCATGATGATGGATCGAAATTCCGCAACAAGCATCAGCTGGAACTCACCATTTTGTCCATCAAATCCAGTTCTACTCATCAGCATTGCCTCGACCATGTCCCAATTGCTCACCGGTATGTATTCATTGACTGGAACAATCATTATATTGAACCGATATAGTGAAAACACATGGTAAGCATGATGATGGATCGAAATTCCGCAACAAGCATCAGCTGGAACTCACAAACTGGGCCATCAGGTCCAGTTCCATACTTGACAGAATTGCCTCTGCGATGTCCCAATTGCTCACCAGTATGTATTCATTGATTGTAACAATCACCATATTGGAGCTATATGGTGGAAGCACATGGTAAGCATGATGATGGATCGAAATTCCGCAACAAGCATCAGCTGGAACTCACCATTTTGTCCATCAAATCCAGTTCTACTCATCAGCATTGCCTCGACCATGTCCCAATTGCTCACCGGTATGTATTCATTGACTGGAACAATCATTATATTGAACCGATATAGTGAAAACACATGGTAAGCATGATGATGGATCGAAATTCCGCAACAAGCATCAGCTGGAACTCACAAACTGGGCCATCAGGTCCAGTTCCATACTTGACAGAATTGCCTCTGCGATGTCCCAATTGCTCACCAGTATGTATTCATTGATTGTAACAATCACCATATTGGAGCTATATGGTGGAAGCACATGGTAAGCATGATGATGGATCGAAATTCCGCAACAAGCATCAGCTGGAACTCACCATTTTGTCCATCAAATCCAGTTCTACTCATCAGCATTGCCTCGACCATGTCCCAATTGCTCACCGGTATGTATTCATTGACTGGAACAATCATTATATTGAACCGATATAGTGAAAACACATGGTAAGCATGATGATGGATCGAAATTCCGCAACAAGCATCAGCTGGAACTCACAAACTGGGCCATCAGGTCCAGTTCCATACTTGACAGAATTGCCTCTGCGATGTCCCAATTGCTCACCAGTATGTATTCATTGATTGTAACAATCACCATATTGGAGCTATATGGTGGAAGCACATGGTAAGCATGATGATGGATCGAAATTCCGCAACAAGCATCAGCTGGAACTCACCATTTTGTCCATCAAATCCAGTTCTACTCCTCAGAATTGCCTCAACCATGTCCCAATTGCTCACTAGTATGTATTCATTGATTGGAACAATCATTATATTGGACCCATATAGTGAAAGCACATGGTAAGCATGATGATGGATCAAAATTCCGCAACAAGCATCAGCTGGAACTCACCATTTTGTCCATCAAATCCAGTTCTACTCCTCAGAATTGCCTCGACCATGTCCCAAGCAGTCGCCAGAATGTAGCCATTGTATGGAACAACCATTGTATTGTTTCTATATGGTGGAAGCACATCGTAAACATGACGATCGATCAAAACTCCAGAAGAAGCATTCTCAGCTGGGACCTATAAATGCAGCCATCAAATTCACTTCCACTCATCTGATTTGCACTGCTTTTCATTTCATCCCATTGTCGGCAAACATAGAACTCTTTGGAGAATAGTCTTCATACTGGAGTAATATGATGGAATGAAACTGCAAGCAGCTGGAACAATGAAATGTGTAGTGTTGCCAGAAGCAGCAATAGACATCCTTTAATTTGCGATTCAATCTCATCTGATCCCCATCAGCATTGCTTAATAGATGACCCATTCTTCCAATATTCTGCATGTAGTCATATGAAGAATCTTCTTATCCACTCCTTATTGTGGAAGCATAAGAGGTTTAGGACCAGAGGATCAAAATTGAAAAAAAGCTGGATGCAAGCATGAGTTGAACATTTAGTAACGCATCCATAAACTCTCACCTTTCCTAGGTCTTTGCTGATTGTAGAATATTCAAGGGCAGTGTCAAACTTGATCACATACTATCACATGTATCAGCAATGAGTCAATGCGGTGGCGAGTCATACAAGTTTTGGACTGGACCCAGATGGCAAGCTTTCTTGACTGGGTGTAGAACTGAAAAGAATCGGAACAATGAAACTCATCTATCAACCATCAGCCATTCCAATGCCTTCAATATAGCCATAGAGACATTGCTTTCAGATAATATTCCATGGTTCTTGCCTCCAGACTTGACTCTGGTTCCATTATTGCCCATTAAGATTATGTGATGTTCGTGCCTTTCAGCTTCATTTGGGAGCTACTAGTAGTCGTCTAGAGAAACTAATTGCTCGGCTCACTTCATAGGACCAAGATAGAGAAGAGTGGGACAGACCTGGCATGGCATACCAGTGAAGCCTCCATACAGCAAAGTGGGGAAACAAGAGCAGCAGTGACTGTTGCCACATGGTTGAGAGATTGTTGTTGGAATCAATATTGAGTTTCGCTTACTAGCTCGTGTGTCAAGCTTACAAACAGAATCAAATACCTTATCAATCCCTTCTTGATAAAGTAAATGGAATCCTCCATGAATTCCTTGTAGACTTCCTTCTTTAAAGTCATCTTCATCGGTTTGCAAATGAAAAGTAGATCCACTATCCAAGTGGATACCAGTATTGTTGTGTTGAAATAACATCATCCCTTGTTGTCTTGGATGATTGTCAGTATGTCCTTGTTGAATAAATTGTCCTCCATGGGATCCATTGTTGGAACGTCCATAGTTCCATTGAGTGTTTGAATCTCCTGATTCATTATCATCACGTGTTGCATTTTCATCACGTTGCATATTCTGTTGATTACCACGACCATTCGCGTCCGAATAATCCCTATATTTGTCCGGGTTTTTCCACTGTTCCCGCGGCTTCAATTTGTCCGCACATTGAGATGCGACATGATCTTTCGATCCGCACACAAAACATGCTCGAGTTTGTTGTTGCAAAAACTGAGCTCCGTCATTTTGATTGTCGTTTGAATTGTTTTGTTTCCCTTGTCCATTCGAATTTCCTCCATTCAAATTCTTCTTCCTATTATCACGTTTGTGTTGATTCAAAACATCAGCAGCATTTTCCAAAGTAGTTGGAAATGTACAACATTGTTTGAAGTCCAGATGTTTCAACGTGTACTGCGCCGTCATTCCATCGATTCTTGATTGATACTTGGCTCTATCAGAATTATACGGAAATCCGTTGGCCATGATTCTTTCTTATGTTGGGATTGTTCATCATCGCTTCCCAATAAATCATATTTTGACTCTTCTCAGTAAATTTGTCCAAAAAATCACAAAGGAAAGCTTGCAATGCCTTTGCCCTTTCTTCAAATCGTTCACAAAAACTCGCAATGTTTTCCTTCTCCTTTTGATGGCAATTAATTAGATTGCTCATTGTCTTCCACAGACCAAAATATTCCCATTCTGTATCAACAGTAGTCGTCATAAATTTCTTGATCCGCATCAATAGCTCCACAGGATCATTGAACAGTTTGTTTTCAAAGTCAGCTTCTCTCTCAAGCTTGTCCACCATATGATCGGTGCACATCTTCATAATCATTCCATAGACATTGCGTTTATTGTTATTAAACACGTTCTTCCTGGCCTTCCAATCCTTTTGATCAGCCAAATAGTTAGTTCTTCTTTCTTCATTCTTGATATCCTTATCAGGATTGCCGTCATTAGTTACCAATACCAATAATGGTTTTGCGCTTTCAATATCAAACAAACTCAAGGTTTGTACACTCTGAATCATGTCATCAATATGATCCATCTTCATTGTTGACATTTTGATCACCAATGTCTTCTTTACTTCATCAAAGCTAAATTCGGGAATGTTTCCTCTAGTCAGAGGATGAAACTTCTTCTCTTTCTGGCCACCATTGCCACTCTTATCTCCATTGTATTGACCATTACCTTGGCCTTGCTGCAATCTTCCTCGTCCAGCATTTCTTCCATTGGAACCATGTCCAGTATTCTGAAATCGTCCACTCATCATGAGCAAGTTCCTACTCTTTCAAGTCATAGGAATATATCGACTCCCAATTCAATTCAGTGACTTTTTATAATATATGTTAGAAGTAAGCCATCCTGCCTACTTTCCTTGGCCTCCCAATATCAAGCGCCAATCATCCTGTTGTATTGTTTTTTTTTGTTGCGCGACAAACATCAAGATTGCAGCAAGCTCTTGTTTTTCAAGTGCACTGGGGCCTGGACATGTGGCGTCGCGACTGGAAGTTTGACATGGAAACTCAGGAGCGCCATGCCACAGTTCGCCCCCTCCAGTTAAGAAGTGAACTTTAGTGGCACATAGCGCCTCCATGTTTTTACGGAAAAACAGGAGCGCTAGCGCTGAGTCCTTGAAGATCACCGGCTGCACACCACATACCAATCCACCGTTTTGGTGTGCCTGTCCATTGGCAACATGGGTGTGTACAAGGGTGCAGCTCATGTGACATTCCAGCTGAAAATCACGCTTTTGGACGTCTCTCCTACTCTGATCTTCAGAGTTAGGAGCGTGTTGAAATTGCTCTCTTAGAGACCATTCATTGGAAACTCCTTGATGGAAGCAGTTTGACACGTCTGATCGGACAGACAAATGTCTGTTTGGTCATTTTATTTGGGGATTCCTATGTGTCGGTTTTTGCAGGAAATCTGAAAACATGGAATTGTGGGCTTGGACTATCAAACGTCTGAGCACCACAAAAATCCCATACTGAATCCTGCGGGAGTTTGGTACGTGGGTTTTGTACCGGCCTTTCTGGATTGCAAACATCCAGTAAAGGTTTGGGAAATTTGAGTTTTCGTGCAAGGCTTTTGCTTTGCCCATTCCATGGAGATAACAAGTCTTTTAGAATACTTATTTCCTGTAGAGATGATTATTTTGTATTAAACAATGTCCGTTTGGTCCGTTTTGACATGTCAAACTGCTTCCATCAAGGAGTTTCCAATGAATGGTCTCCAAGAGAGCGATTTCAACACTACCTGTTCAATTGACTCCAATTTAGCTGTCCAGGTATTGTTGATACTTTGATTAGTATCCAACTTTGGTTCTTGCTTGAATCTTGTTTTCTTACATCATCAACAAGATGATTTCCATAGAAATAAATTACTTTTCTGACTCGCCACGCACGATATTTTTAGTTGTATCAGTCTTCATTTTTTAGTCGTATCAGTCGACATCATTTCTCTATCGTTGACATGTATTCTCTTTTTCTCGTTTCTCCAAATATGTACCTTGAAAATCCTAATATATCCAACATATGTGAGCGCTTTTCCCACATATCACGGTAATGATTGAGCATGCCAAGGAATGAGCGTAATTGTTTCAAAGTTTTTGGGGGTTTCAACCGCTGAATCGCTTCCACTTTGGAAGCAAGAGGGCGAATGCCTTGGCGCGAGACCAAGTAGCCTAAGTATTTAAATTGTTGAGTTGCAAACTCAGATTTGGGTAAATTAACTTTAAGGCCGGCTTTGTGGAGTCGTTGGAGACATAGTTCTAGCCGTTGAAGGTGGGCTTCAAAGTCACCTTTGGTGACACAGAGGGCGTCTTCTAAGTACATTAAAACGTCGCCGAGGCCTTCCATGAGGCGATTCAGAGCTTCTTGAAAAATGTAAGCTGAGGGCATTGCGCCCATGGGCAGTTTTTGGTAACTATTTTTGCCCCAAGGTAAGATGATAGTACAGAGCTTCGAGGACTTGGGGGTAATATGGACGTTCCAATATCCCATGTTCAAGTCAATGGCGGAGGCATAAGTAAATCCGCTGATATCTGAAATTTTTGGAAGTGGGTAGACTCGTTTTTGGAGCATTAAGTTTAAGACTCAAAAGTCCGTGACAAGGCGGCATTGTCCGTTTGCCTTGGGAACAATAAATGAAGGAGCGCTCCATTTGTTGAAAGTGTCCTTTTTGAGAATGCCAATGCGAACTAAACGATCAATTTCTTTGCGGATCGTGTCTCTATGTATGAGTGGAATCGGCATAGGTTTTGTGTGGAATGGGTTACTTCCTGGTTTAGGTTTGAAGTCAATTGGCGGAATGTTCCACTTGCCTAAAGTGCCGTCAAATAATTCTTCATATTTGTAGAGCAAACATTTCAACGCGGTTTTTTTGTGCGCTGATAAATGATTCATTTGTTCAACGTCCGCGTTAATATCTGCTTTTTCGTATTTAGCGTCCAGAAGTTTAGACGCGCCAAATAGTTCTTCTTCTTGTTCTATTTCCATGATCTCTTCAAACATGGTTTGAAGTTCGTCTTCGTTTTCATCAGAACGTTCTGTGTAACCTTTCATGGGAACTGAGATTCCGTCCCACATTAGCGATTGTTTGGACCAAAGGATGTCAATGCCTAGTGAGTTTTGTAGATCACGTCCGATGATCATGTCGTAGCTAGAGGATGAACTTTCATCCACATGCATTGGGAAGGTTATTTCACAACTTGAGGTGAACTCTGGAATACAGAATGTGACGTTACATTTAGACTTGGTTGTAAAAGTACCAGTGTTGGTCCACCAAATTGTTTCTTTTGCTGCATGATTTTTGCTATACATTGAGTCTGGAATGACATTTTGTTTGATGATTGTTTTGGAGCAGCTAGTCTCAATCAATACATGTAATACTTTAATTTTGTTACTCTCACTACTCTTAATTGTGACCTTTACTGTCGTAGTAAGATCAGAGATAGAGCGGTTGTTAGTGAGTTTTGGATTTCTTGTTTTGGCATTTAAAATTGCAAATAGTTGACTTGCGTTGTCAGCCTTGGCAAGGGCTTGTTCCTTTGCGTTCTTCTTGGTCTTCTTAGGAGACTTTGGATTTTGTTTCGTTTTAGGAATCGGTTTTTCCATTACTAGTTTAAAGTTGTCGTCATTGTTGTCGTGGATATTAGGAACTCGGCGAGCTCTTTGTCACATAGGGAGTCCATTTCCTTAGCATTGGAGTCGCCTTCATTGAACATTTTCTTGGAGATTTCTTTCTTAGACATAGAAAGACCAAAACAAGTAGTCACGTCGTTCTCGTTTTCTACGTCCATTGGTTCAATGTTGTGCTTTTCTTCTTTGTTGTTAGCAAGGTCTTTCTTGTTGTTGTTGCATTGGTCTTCCGTGTGACCATAGAATGTGAAGCCTTTCTTCTTGGTGCAATAGTCGCAAATTTTCTTTTTGTTTGGGCCGTCTTTACGGTCTTTTTTGTAATTGCGGTGTTCCTTCTTTTTCTTTGTAACTGTTTTTTTTTTGGTGGAATGGACGTTGTTTCCGAGAAACCAATGGTTTGGAGACAAGTCAAATAGTTGATAAGATCGATTTCCGTCGTGTTAGGATCGTTCCAACGGTAGTCACCTCTTGTCATATCATTTTTTATACTTGTAGGCAGACATTGGATCAAGATTTCACGTCGATGTTCTGGTGTTGGTGTTGTACCAGTTCCAGGGAGATGTTGGTAGCATCGGAACATGAAAAGTAGTCTGTTTGAGAAGACTCCAATAGACATATTCTTGGGCAATCTCAAAGCTCTGTTGATGAAGCGACGTTGCTTCTGACGAGCATCTGAAGTGCAGTAGCAGAGGGTAAAGCTTTCCATAGCTGTGTCCAAACCCTGTTGGGTTGTTTGCTGATTGTCTGGAAGTTGAGAGATCGCTATTTGCCAATTCTCCTTTGCTTGACCGGAGAGAATAGATAGAATTGTCTGGTGTTTTCCAGGAGCATTCAGGGCTTGTCCAATCTCGAGTTTGTTCCAAGTAAATCTGAATTGGCAGTACTCTTCTACCGTATCATCATCGCAAGGTGTGAATTCCTTTTCAAAGGTTGGTGTTGCGTTTTGAGGGTTGCGTCGTATCTTTTATTTGATTTTGGCTTCCGCTTCATGGTCCCACTTGGATACTTCCTTGTAAAGAGGAATTGGAGCATCGTGCTTTGGGTTCTGGTCGAAGGTAGTACCGTTGTTGACAACTTTCATTATTTTGAGTAAGTTTCGTTTAATTCGTGAACTGTAAAAGGGATGATCAATAGATCTTCGCGAAGTGAATTCACTATGACTTAGCCTAGATCAAAGGGATTTGATATCAGTTGATAATGAAATTGTGAGCATTAGAATAGTGGTTTTTAGGTGCGCTATCTAGTCTTGGTTTGGCCAAGGGATGTGTTCCTTTGACCTGAAATATTCAGCAACGGTGCTGAAGTATTTATCGACGATTGGAGTACTTAGAAGGGCCAATAATAGTTAGGCCTGGAATATTGAGAGACCGATAGGAGTATATCAAAAGCGTCTGTTGAAAAGAGTGTAAGATGCAGCGTCTGCTGGGAGTACGTTGGAAGTCTGGCCGGATGACCAACGGTCTGTAGAGAGTACGTCATAATCAGCAAATTTCACAGGCTAGTTGTCGCAAGCCTCAGAAAAGTGTATAATTCACTAGAATCGCAGTGATAATCTCAACTGGTAGATTTGACTACTCTCTCATGCCTTGATTGACCTTTCCAGGATGATGTCGATTCAATCACAATATGATGCGATCAAGTTGTTAAAACCACTTTCCAACAAGTGCAAAGTTGGGGGATGGTTGCACTTCTATTGTTCCTTAGGTCCTTTCAATTGATTGCATGTCTCTCACAACAAAAACCCTGACCCCGAATCCACAGTAGTTTGTATTGTCGCATCTGGCGCAAAGCTGATGATTCATTCTCTGTTTGTTTTGCTGCTTGTTGTGCTGGAGTCTGCTGTTCTCACTTCAGGCGCCTGTCATATTGTCATCTTTATCTTACTAGGTTGCAACTGTTGTGGTGCTGCTTGTTTGTTTTGCGATTCCTTGGCTTGTGTCTGCAAGCTTGAAGTTGATGTGATGTTGATGCAAAACAATGACACACCATACAAAATGCTTCAGGGACGCACCACAACGCCAAACGCACGCCCGAAATCTGTCCGTCTAGATTGTTTTGAGGATTTTTTAGCTCTAAATAATTTTTATGTGTCCGTTAAACTGCTCTGCGACTTTGACGCAGGACGTTTCTTTTGACGCTGGAATGACGCAAGTTGCGTTAGTTTGACGCGGAGTTGCGTTAGTTTGACGCGGAGTTGCGTCAGTTTGACGCATAGTTGCGTCGGCCTGCATGTCTTGGACGCGGGACGAAACCCGCGTACTGGTATCATTTCCAAAAAGATTGGAGTGTGTGTGAATGAATGAGAGTTTGAGTTCCCACTCTCATTCCAATGAGAGTTGCCCATTTTTTGAACAATGGATCTGATGGAAATTGACAAAGCTGGGGCACATAATGGCAATGATGCTATTTTCCAAGCAAGAAGCAACAACCTTATGAATGAGGAGTTTGAAGCCCTTGATGAAATTCACCAACAGATATCCCTGGCTTGCTCATCAATGGAATCCCCCAGATATAGTACTGCTCAAAAATCTTGTAGAAAAAATATTTGAGAATGGATTTGGCAATGTTGGAACTGACCTTTCTTCCATAGGCATACTTGGCCAGGGATCTGGCAATGTCTCCTATTCCTTTCAGGATCTTTCTGCTCTCCTTGTCTCAATTGTTTAGGGACTTATTGCATCCAGCATTCTTGTTGAACACCAAAAAACGGGGTAGTATGTGTCTTTTGCAAGATGAAAAAGTTCCAATCATTGCAAGGTATTTGGATCCATAACTATGATAAGCATACACTTGCGGTACTAGTTGCTGTCCTGGAATCAATCCAAATTGGTTTAGAGCTTGGAACTGTGTAATTTTGGGATATTAAGCCAAGTACTCCTGATAAATGAGTCCAGAGCTATAGCCCATAGCATAATGAAGTAGATGATGTCAGAACCTGAACTGTGCTCTTATAACATTGTGTTTCTGGCCTCCCTTGAGTTTGACGCGGGATTGATGCAACTGCATCTGTTTGACGCGGGATTGATGCAATTTCTTGAGTTTGACGCGGGATTGACGCAACTTGCGTCAATTTGACGCAGTTTTGTGCGTCGCGCGTCAATTTGACACAAACATTTGCGTCAATTTGACGCAAATTTGCGTCAATTTGACGCAGATTTGCGTTAATTTGACGCAGATTTGCGTTAATTTGACGCGGGGCGTGCCCGTTTTTGCGTCAGATTGACGCACGGGGCATGCCCGATTTCCACAGTGCGCCCGCGCTAAATGGAAACGGACACTTAACCTTTTCCAATACAACCATTTGTAACTATTAACGGACATTTAAATTGCGTGCGTTGCACGTTGTGGTGCGTTCCAGGAACACCCTACAGAACAAGGATTTTTGTAATTGTTGGAAAACAGAAAGACCCGCTTAAGTCATTTGTGATTGCAGGGAGGAAAAAGAGCAACTAAGAAACAAAAAAAAACACTGGCTCAGGCAAAAGCAAGGAGGACGTTGGTTGCTTCTCCTCAATTTACTCGAAGTATTGAGGACTCTGAGGGAATTGAGGAGAAGCGACCAAAAAGCGGTTTTTACTCATATGTGTCTAAAGTTTGTTAAATGAACTCAAATTTTGGGGGATGATATTCACAATCACATAATTTTCAACTTGGCAAAACAGGCTTGCTACAAAAAATATAAAATAAATTGTCGACAAAAAACAAAATGAAGTTTTCTTCTCTCTCCAACACCTTCCTTTTGTCACCAGAGGCGGCAAGAGAAACTGCAGCTCAAACTGAGGAATTTGAGCACTTTGAGAGAATTGAGGACAAGCGACCAGAAAGCAGGACTCCCCGCAACTCGTCTGTCTATCCACCAACTTTTGAGCGTCGGACCCGATTACTACACACGGGTCTTCCCCCCGCCAGCAGTGAGCCCCCCAAGTCACTGCGACAAGAAACCGATCAAGCGATTTTGAAACCGATCAAAGAAATCGAATCAAGTCAAAAAAAAATGAGTCACGAAATAAATTGAAAATCCTGTCAATCAAAGCAAAATCCTTCAAGATGACAAATGTTACAGTGTACAGTAGGATCAAACGTATGGACCTCACAAATACGAGTTTCAGACCTTGAAAAATGGCAAGGAAGAAAAACCTTCGACCAAGGAAAGGTGCCATAGCTGAGATCCTGCAAGATTCATCAAGAACCTCCAACAACGCAGCATGGCAGCTCTTGAAGAAGAGGATAAAGACGACAATCACAATGATGAGGATGAAGACAGACTACCTCAATATGCTGAACCAAGAGATGAAGAGGGTAAAGATGACTACTAGAATGAGATGCAAAGTAAATACAACTAGGGGCCCTACTCAAGAAAGTTTATTTTTATCCCCTTCATAAGTTTCTACAGCATCCTTGATCATAATATTGTATAGTGACATCTCTCTTGTGATTAGATAATGAGCCAAGACGCAACAAGCCTCAAAAGCTGAAGCAAATCTATCTCCGTTGTGTCCAAATCGCGTCTCCAAGATCTTGTTTTGCTTCAACAGACTGTAGAAATTATCGTGTCTCTTGAGAGCTCGACTCTTGAAGGGCCTGACACCAGCATTGTCGTGTGTGTTGTAGGTGCTCATGTGCTTCGGCTCTCTGTTGTAGCCTCAGTCTCCGAGTTTCCACAATCTTTCTCTCTTACCCAATGGTTGGAGTAGTCGAACTGGGACGTCAGCTCATCTTCGGATAGGTACTTTTGTAGATAGTACAGTCGTCCAATCAAGAAATATTAGGGTCAAGTACTCCTCCCTTGATCCTTGCGCCTGCAATGTTGGTGATTTGCGTGTCGGTGTACACCCAAACTGCAGTGCAGGGAGAAACTCTGAAGTGGTGTTTGAAACTTGGCACGCTTGATTCGCCTTTTGCTGTAGCCCTTCAGAGCAAGGCCAGATTCCTCCGATGGAGTAACAAGATGGTTGATGGGCGGCTCGTCCATGAAAGAGACTGATTTGATGACAATATGCGGAGACTCGTAAGGCTCCATCCAAGTATGATGTGGCTATTGTACGTCACAGTTTTTATTTATAAAAAAATGATGTCATGAAATTTTGAAACTGATCAAAGAAATCGAAACAGATCAAGCGAAACTGATCAAAGAAATCGAAACAAGTCACGGTGACACAAAATCGATCAAATGATTTTGAAACCGATCAAAGAAATCGAAACAAGTCACTGCGACACGAAACCAATCAAACGATTTTGAAATTGATCAAAGAAATCAAAACCGATCAAACGCTTTTGAAACCGATCAAAAACAATATTTTGCTACAACAATGCCCCGGCCCAGGGGTGTATTGAAAACTATTTAGTAGTCAAAGAAGTCCGAGATGTGAAAATTCCAAAACGGTTGGTCAATAGACGGGTTGCGGGGGGTCCAGGTTACACTCATAAATGGAGCGTGTCCAAAAGTCTTCCATTTTCCAAATTCGCAATATTTTAGGCCATTTCCGTTTGGTCAAGCTAGTCGGTTGATATTTTTCCATTTTTTTGGTGCATATTTCTTTTTTTTCATTTTCTATAAATTGGGACTACCTCTGGGGATGTTCTGAGAAATGACAAGATTTTACGAGCAATGCAATGCTGCTACCCGTATGTGTACCAGTACATACATGAAGAATTGGGGGAGAATGACTAGATGAATGAAAAACAAGGAATAATATGAATCAAAAATTTTGGTATTTGGGACTTTTGGGTCAAACGGCGCATTTGGACTCGATAGGGCCTAAATACAGAGTTTGGAAAAATGGATTTAGAAGACTTTCTGACCGCTCAAATTTTGTTAAATGAATAGTCTTCTTCCACTTATTTGAAAATGTCTTGTTTTATATAATGAAAGACAAAATGGGGAAATGACAGAGTCATTTCTCAAGAAAGAACCACACAAATTTGGAAGTCCGCACTCTGCTGGCAACACAGGGAGGTCCTGCTGAATACCGCCAGTATGTTGTACGTTTCCCTCCACGACTGGGTCAATGATGACACTGGCATAACGGTTTTTCCGCCAGCATAGCATTTTCCGAGCATGAAAATGCAGAATCTATTTATTCAGCAGTACTGCTGAATTCCCTTCTCAACTGCTGAAGAATTCAGCAGCAGTGCTGAATAAATAGATTCCGTTTTTCACCATGCAAAACAATAAAAAACTGAAAGTGTCATTGTTAGAAGTAAGTGATCCACTGCCCCCTGCAATCTACCTGTTCAATTGACTGCAATTTAGCTGTCCAGGTATTGTTGCCTTCTAAGTATTGAATTTACAGTATATAGAAGTATATAGATCTATCAGAGATCCTACTTTATCAACCAATTCACTTGTTGCTTGCAATATATTATAAAAAGTGAGAACAGTCTGTCAACTTTTGACTTTGACTCTTTCTTCTCCAGCTCAGTGGAAATTCTGCAAGTTCAATTGTAGTCGGTACTTTGATTAGTATTCAACTTTGGTTCTTGGTTTAGTCTTGCTTTCTTACATCATATGATCTGTTTTCTGACTCACCTTGTGCGATATTTTTAGTCGCATCAGTCTTCTTTTTAGTCATATCAGTCGACATCTTTTCTCTATTGTTCACATGTATTCTCATTTTCTTGTTTCTCCAAATATGAACAAGCAAACGATGGCAATTTGAATGTCTAAACGGCATCGCTCTTCACATTGAGCCCCTGGTTTTTACACATGATCAAAATCATGCCCCAACCAATAGAGATGCATCCTCCAGTGTGACTTTTGCAGTCCTCGTGGATTCCATACAAAACATCCACCCATGCTTGCATCCTCCTGATGTTGTCTCCACCAATGATCCTTGTCAAATCTATTGATCCTTTAATGTTGGCTAAAACAGCCAGTCCGGTCCTCAAAAATGTGACAAGCCGGTTCTGACCCAGCTACCGGTATATCCTATCTATTTGTCAGGCCTGAAGACCACTTTTAATCCATATAAACCTGGATTTTCCACAAGTACTTTGTTAGTCCCGACAGTACTTCATTAGTTCTTACACGCGCACGTGAATTCCCAACACACTCCTTCGAGCGATGGATCGTGCATGTGATTCATTCGATAGGACATTCTGTCTGTCCGTCTGTTGTCGGCCCTTATTCAATTGTTCGTTTACTCACTCCTTTGAGCCCCTATTCTCCAGGGATTTGAACCCTTGACCTCAGCCTTGTCTCTTATCTCGAGACCTCCTATCTTTTGCAGTCTATCTACTGCAGCTAGGTACTGAAACTCAGTATATCACACCATGTTGGTTATTTTGTTCCGCATTTGGATCATGCTTGCCTCTGCTGGCATAGTTCATTTGAACTTCAAGTTCATCTTTCATGGGCTCAAATACCGGACGGAATTCTCCATCGCAATAAATCTTTTTCACCGTGAAATCATGTGCATTATAAAGCCAAAAACATTTATCAATTGTGTCATACAATGCCATCTTGGATCGTGAGGCCAAGGGTATGTAGCACCGTGAGTCCGAATGAATTGTTAACAAAAACAAGATCAATGTGCAACACAACACTCAGATTGGGATAGCTAATTTTAAAATTCTACCACAGAAAATAACGCCACATTTATGGCGTTCAGTGTGTGCGACACCAAACGCGTCGCAGTCACATTTTCCGCATTCTCTGTATTCACACTCAGAGTATTCGGATCCCTCATTACTTTCTGCCCTACCATCGGGTACAAAAGTGTACAATCCGTTTCGATGCACATGTCGCATTTTCAATATCAGTGTCCATAATGACACAGAATCCAAGCTTCACAAGCTCAGATAAATTATCGAGGTTACATTGCAAGTGTGTCCTTTGATAATACGTTGGCCAGTGTTCATACCGTAGTTGAACATGTAATCCAGGTCAGACACAGTGCCAGGTTTGGCGTAATCTTCGTTCATTTGTAGGCTGAACGTAGATCCAGAATCAAGATGCATACCAAGATCAATATCCCAGTGCTTACTTCCATTAGACTTGAAAGGTTTCTTGTTATCTTTGGTCTATTGAGAACAGTGCTTCAATGAATCCATCTTTGAGGTCGACTTGTAGATCTGCATGTTCACACTTCCATCGCTGACCATGCTGTCATCGTCCTTGAAAGTACTGGCAGCTTCTAGTTGTGCCTGCCATTTCTTCATTAGCAACTCTCCTCTGTCTTCAGTGGAGACTGCTTTCTTCTTCAGAATCGGCCTTACACGTACTTGTGCAAGGTTCCATCCTGTGATTCTACCGTTAGATCGTTCATCTGTACCACATAAGAGGGTACATTAGTAGTACCAGAACCCTCATCGGAAAAGAAAGTCTGGTCCTATTGGTCGGCTTGCTCATGTCACATTAGGACATGACTCGGTCTGCTTATGTCATGTGGCCATGTGATTTTATCGCAGCCATTCGACTGGAACCTTTTCATATTTATTTTTGCCTCTGTGCTAATGTCACCTTCGCCGTGTGAAAAATCACCTACTACTTGTCATTTTGGGACAGGGTCTAGCCACCATCAACCATGCACTGAAAGTCTCAATACCACCTTCACCCTGTCATTTTTGCATTGCCAGCATCATCTATTGTCACATGCCCAAAGTGTGAATGTGATCACTACAACAATTGAAATATCACAATGACTTTAGTTGGATTTCGGTTCTGGCGGACATCAGACAAGCGACAGGCTAATCGTCGTCCAAACCGATTGACAACTTTGTGGCCCATCAAGCCATCATTGCCAACCAGCCGTGCCAATATGCGACCCATCAAGACGTCATGCAGAGGCACTGACCATAGCGATCTCCGATCCGCCTAATAGGAAATAATCATCTCTACAGGAAATAACTATTCTAAAAGACTTGTTATCTACATGGAATGGGCAAAGCAAAAGCCATGCACGAAAACTCAAATTTCCCAAAACCTTTTCTGGAAGGCCGGTACAAAAACCCACGTACAGAACTCCCGCAGGATTCAGTCTGGGATTTTCGTGGCGCTCAGACGTTTGATAATCCAAGCCCACAATTCCATGTTTTCAGATTCCCTGCAAAAACCGACTCATAGGAATCCCCCCGAATAAAACGGACCAAACGGACATTTGTCTGTCTGTCCGATCGGACGTGTCGAACTGCTTCTATCAAGGAGTTATGAATGGTCTCCAAGAGAGCAATTTCAACAACTATATATTAATATCAACTAAACAATACTTGTTCTATCTACTTTCCAGGAATCCTCATATACTGCTACAATTTGTTGCCTTGCCTTCTTGCGCTTTTATTCAGAGCGTTTGTGGTTCAGTTAGTGTTGCCACTGCTCGGCCATTCTTTGGCCAGTGCCTTCCATCTGTCCACATAGTTCTCCACCATCAAAAGTGCAAATGCTTCATCTGTGACATTGAAAGCATTGCTCAACCCACATTGACAGCTTGCATCACCACAGTATTTATTGGCAAAAGAAGCAGGTGAAATCAAGGGTTTTGTCACACAACAGTAGCGCCAAAACATGAATACATACCCTCTTTGTGTTCACGGTCCTCATCACTGCTCACACTTGAACTATTGTCATACACCTTTTCCTGTCTCCGACACTCCCCTTCATACTCAACCCAAATTGACATCTTGCATCACCATAATATTTAGTGACAAAAGAAGCAGGTGAGATCAAGGCTTTTGTCACACAACAGTAGCGCAAAACATGAATACTCACCCTCTTTCTATTCAAGGTCCTCCTCACTGCTTGCCCTTGAATGATTGCCGTATACCTTTTCCTGTCTATGAGACCCCCCTTCATTTGTTGGCAAATAAACAAAAAATGCTGCTGTTTCTCCAATGTTCAACAACGACGTTCTGATACCAGTAGTACAAAAAACTCGCAGGTTGTTTGGGTGTAGGCTTTGCTAGTGTTGCAGTGTTTGAAGCTGCCTTCTTCTTGGTCTCATTGCCCTTCCCCTTGCTTGGTGCCTTCTTGCTCCTTGTCTTGTTTTCAAATACTCAAGTTTTTTTATTATGTGTGCGCTGTGAAATCTTTGCCCTGGCAAGGCTGGATTCAGTGGAAATGTACTTGGCACTAGTAGTAACTACATGTAGCATTGGGTTGGAGGAGGGTGGAGGAAGGCGTGATTCTACGTATTTTCTGTAGAAATGTACCATAGGATGGGCTTGAATCCATCCTGGCGCGATCTTTTCCCTGCTATTACTAACAACCTCACTTAACATATTGCTTACTTAACATAATGACTCAAAACTATTATCGACTTGTCCAATCTACATTATTTCTACTGAGTAGGATCCTGGTAGATTTACAGGGAGCTACACTAACAAACTTGTAACTCTTAATGGGATCCTGATTGAGAGACATGTCTCAACAAACGAATCCCAATTTTGTGGCTTAAATGCACAATGTCTGCCATATGTAATATCATGATTACCATAACCAGCAAAGAAAAATTGGCAAAGGCGCCACCTGCAGGAAAAAGGATATATGAAAATGCAAAATCTCCTGTTCTTGTTGATGTCATGCAATCATCAAATGGCATCATAGTACTGTGAGAATTTGCTCTTTGATGAGCTTACCTGATTTTGCCAATTGTACTCTATTCAGTTGCATCGCTGTCAGATTCTTCACCAGTGATGTCATCTGCTTGCAGTTTCTTTTCTCAATGTTGTTTTTGGTTCTGTCCTGGGCTCATCGGAGAAATGTTTTGATCACTTCTGACCGTGTAGAATTCTACGTGCAGGATTGTGGTACATTTGGACGGAGCGTCTAGGCTTCAGGTGCAAATATATGGCAGATCCTAAAATCCCAATCCAGAGAAACTTTTTGATGGGATTCTAGTCCAAATGTATGGCAGATCCTGAATCTCAATCCACACAGCCAAAATAAAAACAGAAACAACACAAACATGACAATCAACTACAGTTTGCGCAACAATGGACTGGCGCAACAACCAACTGTTCCCATTGCACCAACTTGCAACATGGAAGCCAAACAGCAATACATGGGGCACAACGAACAATTTCTACTGATGACGATGGTAACAAAAACTGTGTGTTGGTCTAATGATGACTTTGTCGGTAAGAAGTTCATAGACACCGTCAAGGGCGCACATGCATCATCAACTTTGTATGTGAAGACGTCCCTAGATGCAGGAAGATGGTGCCTAATGGCGTCATCTGGTGCCAAATTTGAACTCAAGCCCTATCATCAGAATCTGTTGCTCTTGGGAAACTGGCGTTGGTGGACCCAGAAAGCTGCAAAAAAAAAACGACAATACACCAATCTCTTCTGTGTCATTAGCGGAAGAAGAATTCGACCATTGGCATATAAATTTTGACCAATACGATGAGTTGGCTTGGTAATATTATGAGTTTGCTCCGTTTCAGCGGGTCCTCCTGGCACCATGGAGACAGAAACCCAAAAACCAACCTGCCAGTCCCTTTTACTGCCTCTAATGAACAACGGATTACTGGACCTATCAATAGATTTGGCCTATCCTAGATCAAGGCGCCTAAGCAAATGGGAAGTTTGAATCACATGTAAGTTTGTTGCCCCAAAGCATGATCTGGAGTGATCTGACCAAATTGTTGACCAAATTGCTTTGAATTGCTTTATTTAAACTAATATTTCTTGCTCATTGATGTACTTGGCAAGGTTGATACATTGGTATAGGGTATCTTGAGGTAGAAATGTTTCCGTCGCACTCCCAGATGCAGCCAAAAATCTCTTCGAGTCCACCTCAAGTGAATTCGGTGCATTTCCACCAAGAATTCTCCCGTTCCAGCCAAACCAGCATTCTTAGACACCAATATTGGTGACAAATATAATATAGACTAAAAAAATTGAATGAAGTTAGAACAATAGGTGGGCTATTTCAGAATTTGCATCAAACTTGAATCTTTTCAGAGCTGCCACCTAATTTCTGGATCTAGATCTAGATCTAAATAGAATCTACGGGCAACTCATGTAGAGCTTTATCCATCAGGATCCAAAGAAGTGGTTTATGTATTGTTAAGTGGGTGTTTGCTATCATAGCGGCCACTGAAGTTGAATTTAGTGGCAGTAGGTTGCAATAGAAAGCATACAACAATGGCTTATCATCAGGAGGTGATGAAATATGGCATGGTTCATTTGGGTTTAAAAGGTCACAAGTGACAAACACAACGACAAACAAAGGGGAAGGTTCCTAATAAGAAGGGTACTCTGAAAGTAGGATATGGTTAAGTTGAATGTCAGAGGTCGCAAGTGACAAACAAAGTTACAAATCATAGAATGCTTCATAATCACTGTTGGGAATTCACGTGCGCGTGTAAGAACTAATGAAGTACTGTTGGGACTAACAAAGTACTTGTGGAAAATCCAGGTTTATATGGATTAAAAAGTGGTCTTCAGGCGTGACAAATAGATAGGATATACCGGTAGCTGGGTCAGAACCAGCTTGTCACATTTTTGAGGACCAGACTGGCTGTTTTAGCCAACATGGTGTGATATACTGAGTTTCAGTACCTAGCTGCAGTAGA